CTAGAGCACTGAGGACAATTCAGTGCAGTGAGGGAAGAAGCTGGGGTCCTGCTGCCTTATCCCTACCGTTTACCTTCGCTGCCCAACCCCCTGCCCCTCCAAGCAAGACACTGATTTCAAGACCCAGGATCCCATCCCTGAGTGATACTGACTGACCCAATATCTCACAGAAGCACTGTAAATAGCATGGGGGAATCGAGTAGGTATTATTTTCTGGTACAAAATGCTTATCACTTGGGTTTCACTTAATGAGTGTTTAAAAAATTAAAATAAAGGGAGACTTTGTTTAAGAACCTAGAAACAGTAGTCTCTGAAAGAATCCTCTCTGGCCCGCTCTGCCTCCTCACTTGCTCTCACCTCTGTGCCCTCTCAAGCATTTACTGTGCCAGGGATGCACCTAGAGACTGACACACATGCTCTGACTCAACCTCACCACAACCCTGAAAAAGGAGGCACTGTTACTTCTACTTTACATATAAGGGAATCAAGGTTCAGAGAGGCTAAGTAATTTGAGGAGCAAACCAAGGAGCCTGGGAAGGAGAAGCTACACACGCTGTCATAGAGGTCAAGCAAGGGAGGGAACAGTCAGAAAGGAGCCAAAGGGCCACCGGGAGAATAAGGCAGTGGCAGAAAAGTGCCCTTAGCATTTGGCAATACAGAGTAAGCTGCCTATGCTCATCTCTCAGCACTTCAGTGCTGTTGGTATATCAGTCACACAGTGCTACAGAATCAGAGTGCAAGGTATGAAATCTAACCTGATTTGATGAGGGGCAGGGTAGGGGGAAGGCTATCTAGAGGCCGAGGTCACCTGGGTCATAGAAATAGTGCCCTCTGGCCCCTCTTCTCCACTATTTCCGTGGCCCTCACAGATTCTTCTCCAAGGGTACAAGCAGCAGGGACAGAGGTCAGGTCCTTATATTTTGATACCACTGCCTATTTTTAAATACATGCTAATGGGATTTAATTATAAATTTCACTCCCTGTTAAAGGCAACTAGGAACACGGTGGCAATACAAACCCAGAGCAGTAGCCTGCAGTCACGTTAACCTGGTCTGCAGCTGGCCCTGCACGGCTCCTACCCACCTCCTTGTCCCCTCACACCTTGCTGCTCCCTTCTGCAGGCAGTCCTTCAGCTCTGCTCCCTGCCTGGAATGTTCTTCATGCTGTCTGTGACCACCCTTATCCCATCAGTCCTTCAAAATTCCACTTTTCCGGAACACTGGATCTATCATTAGGTAATAAACCCACTATCTGACCATACATTAAACCACTTGATTCTCTTCTACTCTCCTTTCTTCTCTATTTCTATTCATCGCTTTCTTCTACAGTGTTGTATTTTACCTATTTCTGTTTTGAGTCTAAATATCCCATTTAATTTTCTCACCAACAATACTTTGGACAATTTTTATCTATAGGATGGCTAACATAAAAAAGAACAAGTATTGATAAAAATGGGGAGAAACTGGAACTTCCATATATTCTAATGAATGTAAAATAGTGTATCCACTTTGGAAAACAGTTTGAAGTTCCTCAAAAAATTAAACAGAGTTATGAAATGGCCCAGTAATTCCACCTCTAGGATTATACCTAAGAGAATTTAAAACCTATGTCCACATAAAGGTTGGCAGATGACTGTTCATAGCAATATGATTCATAATAGCCAAAAAGTGGAAGCAACTCAAATGTCTGTCAATGAGAACAGATAAACAGAATGTGGGACATCCATACAAAAGAATATTGTATAATTAAACATTATGCAGCCTTGAAAATAAAATATTCAGGGGCCGGTAGTTGGCACAATGGCTATGTCACTGGACTCCCATGTAGTCGACCGCAGTTCGAGTTCCAGACCCAACTGCTTAAACTCACGCTGGGAGCATGTGCGTGCGTGCCCAAGATCCCAAGAGGAGAATGGAGGAGAAGGGATTGTGGTGTGGTCATCCCCGCTGGGGGGTTATTTCTTGCTTTCTGTCTCTCTGTCTCTCTCTGTCTTTCTGGCAAGCACATGCACCCTATAGTAAAAAACAAAACAAACAAAAAAAAAACCTCTCCAAAAAAAAAGAAAAGAAAATATTCATATATGCTACCATTAGCTAGACTGTGAAAGCATTATAGCAAATGAAAAAAAGTTAGAAATAAGAAATCACATATTATATAATTCCATTTACATAAAATGTCCAGAAAAATGAATATACATAGAGACAGAAAGTAGATTAGTGGTTACCAGGGGCTGGGGAAAGGTAGAGGGATAAAGAGTGATTATTAATGGATATAGCATGTCTTTTGGAGATGATTAAATGTTCTAGAATTAGATAGTGATAGCAATTGTAAAACCTAGTAAATATACTAAACACTGCCAAACTGTATATGTTAAAAGGGTGAATTTTATGTATTTGAGTTACATCTCAATTTTTAAAAATAAGTAATAAAAGAAAAGTATGTGATCATCAAACTTTTGAGTATACAAAAATCACACAGAGTACTTATTAAGGTATGAATTCCTGGACTTCATGACATCTTCACCAAAATTCTAGCCCAGTAGATTTAGTGTAGAACCTAGTAGCCTGCATTTAATCTGCAAGTTGTTAGCCATAAAATGTGTTTTTTTAAAACATAGGTAATAATGAAAAGAGATTAATTTACAGTCAGAAGAACAGGATTCAGGGACCAGCAGTCAGCGTAATGGCTATGTTGCTGGACTCCCACATAGTCGACCGCAGTTCAAGTCCCGGACCCGGTGGCTTAAATTCACGCCGGGTGCGTGTGCGTGTGTGCCCAGGATCCCGAGAGGAGAATGGAGGAGAAGGGATTGTGGCGTGGCCATCCCCCCTGGGGGGGTGATTTCTTGCTTTCTATCTCTCTATCTCTCTCTGTCTGGTGAGTGCACGTGCCCTATAACAAAAAAAAAAAAAAGAACAGGATTTAAATTCTGGTACTGTTCCTTCCTAGTTTATGACTTTAGGTAAGTCATGTCACCTTCTCTTTAGTTTCTTTCTTTTTTATTTCATTAATTTTATTTTTACATTTTTCCACATTTACTTTACATATCAAAAATGTTTTGCTCATATTCCATAGTTCTTGACAGTTAATAAACAACTTTCAAAGTTTCAAACTACTCAATTTTAAAGATAATATTCAAAATATTTCTTATAATTTTGTATAATTTTGTTTGTAACTCTATAACAATGGAGACAATATAGTTTTAAATATTTTTGAGAAAATATTTACATGTCAACTACTCAAACTGTTGAAAAGCAAATGCCGAGCACACAAGTTAATCTTCAGGTATGCCATTCCAATCAAAGCCCTGTCCAATAATGAGTATTTCCAATTTCTGATTCAATGCAACAAACATTATTGAACTTATACAAATAACCTTTCTGCTAAAAAAATAAGAATACTCCCAAATATTTCCAATTTAAGAGAGGTCAGGAAGGAAGAAAAGTTTATGCTTCCATTTGAAGAAACAAACAAGAAAAATATTTTAACAAATTGGTGAACCTATGAATAACTCAAAAAAGAATAAAATGTTTAAATTGAGAAAACAAAGCATAGAAAAAAAGAAATCAGTAATGTTTTACTCAAAAGTCATAAAATTCTACTTTGCAATTTCTGTCTTATGTTCACTTTTTTGTTGAATATGCAGTGTTACTGTGGTCCAATCTTTCCGTCTAAATTCTGGAAGTTAACATTCAACATTATTATTGATATTTCTTGTCCCTAGAATTAAATTGATCATTTTCTTGGTTGCCTTTTTTTCTCTTATTGCTGTATGTGTCTTCAGTTTTCTTGGTAGAGCACTACTTTCAGAACTTCTTGAAGAGTGGGTTTGCTATCAGCAAACTCTTTCAGGTCTTGTTTATCTGAGACTGTTTTTATCTTTTCTTTCCATATGAAAGATAATCTTGATGGGTATAGTATTCTTGGCTGAAATTGCTTCTCACTTAACACTTCGAATATATTTTCCCATTCTTTCCTTGCTCACATTGTTTCTGATGAGAGGTCTGAGGTTAACCTGACTGGATAACCTTTGTAAGTAACCTGACATTTCTCTCTTGCCAATTTTAGTATCTTGTCTTTGTCTGTAGATTTGGCCAGTCTGGCTATGATGTGCCTTGGAGAAGATCTTCTTGGGTTGATTCTATTAGGGGTCTTTGTATTTCTTGGGCCTGGATATTTGTATGCCTCTCTAGATTTGGAAAGTTTTCTTCCAAGATTTCATGGAATAATTTATCAATGCCCTTATTAGTTTCCTCACCTTCTGGGATACCAATTACCTGGATGTTTGGGCTCTTAACGGTGTCTAGTATTTCTCACATAGTATTCTCATTTTTGGGGGTTATTTTCTCAGTTTTTTTTTTTTTTCCTAGATCAGGATTCTTTGACTGTAAAATATAATGATGAATGCCCCTAGATCAAGTTTCTTTGACTGTAAAATATAATGATGAATGCCTCCCTCCAAAGAGACAGTGTATGGAAGTGTAACAGAGTTCATGGCACACAGGTGGTGCTCTATAAATGCTAAGCTGAACTCCAAGCAGGTACCAATTCCATTCAAGGAACATTGTGAAGTGACTGTGATATAAAGGTACAGTGCAAAGTGGTAATTAGCAGGATAAATTTTAAAAATAATTAATATATTCTGCAAAATATGAAATAGCCTTAAAAAACCAAGCATCACTGTTGACAAACTAAATTAGTCAAATTACTTTTTATGATGCTGGAAAACTCCTTGGAGAGTTTATCAGGAAAAAATAAAAACAACATAAGTTCAAGTATTTGATAATTATAAAGAATTTTCAGAGGCTAAAGTA